GCAAAGGTCGCGGGTCCTCCCGGTTCTCCGGTTGCGGCAGCAGGTGGGGCCGCCCCAGGATGCGGGGGACAAGTCGCCCCAGGCTGACTGTTCTCTCTCTCTCCTCCAGGGGGAGCCACAGAACCGGAGGCCATGCCTCACGAGAAGAGTTTCTTGGTGTCTGGGGACAACTATCCTCCCCCCAACCCTGGATATCCCGGGGTGCCCCCGCCCCCCATGGCTCCTTACCCTGGGGCCCCGTACCCACCAGCCCAGTTCCAGCCTTCCCCCTACGCCCAGCCAGGGTATCCCCAGGGCCCCAGTTCCTACCCCCAAGGGGGTTACCCTCAGGCCCCCTACCCCCAAGCAGGTTACCTACCCCCAAGGGGGCTACCCTCAGGGGCCATATCCACAGAGCCCCTTTCCACCCAACCCCTACGGACAGCCACAGGCCTTCCCGATCCAGGACTCTGGCTGTGAGTAGCTCGGCGGGGGCTTGGGGAGGGCAGGGGCTCCAGGCACCCACAAGTGGCCCTGACCCGGCCCCCCTGCTCCCCAGCACCTCCGCATGGGACCTATCACGAGGAGGGACCCCCGTCCTACTATGACAACCAGGACTTCCCTGCCACCAACTGGGACGACAAGAGCATCCGCCAGGCTTTCATCCGGAAGGTGGGCCTCGCTCGGGCCGGGGTTGGGGGGCAGCGGCGCTGGGCAGGCTCTGAGTGGCTCCTTCCTCAGGTGTTCCTGGTGCTGACCGTGCAGCTGTCCGTGACTCTGTCCACCGTGGCCGTGTTCACGTTTGTCAAGGAAGTGAAGGGTTTTGTCCGGGAGAATGTCTGGACCTACTATGTCTCCTACGCCGTCTTCTTCATCTCCCTCATCGCCCTCAGCTGCTGTGGGGAATTCCGCCGAAAGCACCCCTGGAACCTCATTGCACTGGTAACTCCAGATCCTGAGCCCCTGGCCGCCAGGGCCCTGCCTCCCCCCCACACACACACACTCCCACTGTTGCACTGAAGGGGGAGAGGGGTTGTGGCTGGAGCAGCCCTCACACGCAAGGCCCCGTCTCCCCACAGTCGATCCTGACCATCAGCCTGTCCTACATGGTGGGCGTGATCGCCAGCTTCTACAACACCGAGGCGGTCATCATGGCTGTGGGCATCACCACCATCGTCTGCTTCACGGTGGTCATCTTCTCCATGCAGGTGAGGGTCCTGGTGGGGGTCTCTCCATGCCTGGGAGGGCTCCCGGAGGGCGGGGGGCTGCTGGCCGGGGGCCTGGCAGGGGGCACCAGGGCCTGCTGTCGCTGTCCCCGCAGACCCGCTACGACTTCACCTCGTGCATGGGCGTGCTGCTGGTGAGCATGGTGGTGCTGGTCCTCTTCGCCATCCTCTGCATCTTCATCCGCAACCGCATCCTGGAGATCGTGTACGCCTCGCTGGGCGCGCTGCTCTTCACCTGCGTGAGTGAGGGGCCACCTGGGGCGGGCACCGGGCTGGGGGGGGGCGGGTCCCTCAGCACTGCACGCTGTCACCTCAGTTCCTGGCAGTGGACACCCAGCTGCTGCTGGGGAACAAGCAGCTGTCGCTGAGCCCGGAGGAGTACGTGTTCGCGGCGCTTAACCTGTACACGGACATCATCAACATCTTCCTGTTCATCCTCACCATCATCGGCCGCGCCAAGGAGTAGCCCGAGCCCTGCCACGCGGGGGGCCCCACACGGGCGGTGTGGCTGGCGTGGCAGTGCCATCTGGACCTCCCCTCTCTCCCCCCGGATGCAGCCTGGGACAGAGGAAGCCCCTCTCCAACCCTCCTGTGTGTACACTGCAGATACTTCTGTTTGGACCCGCTGTGGCCAGCACGGCCCCGTCTAGCCCTCCCGCTCTGACCAAGGGCAGCGGGGCTAGGTTTCTGTGCCACCTCCTGCCCACTCACTGTTGCATGAGCCCTGTCTGCCAGCCCACCCCAGGGGGCAATACCAGGTCCCAGGGGAGAGGGATCGAGCCAAGAGGTGAGGGTGCACGTCCCCCCTCCTGTCCCAGCTCCCCGCCTGGCATTAAGTATCCCCTTCTCCCCACCCCCACCCCGGAGTGCTGCCCTCTGGGGCACCTGCAGGGTGAGGGTCTCGTTCCTGTGCTGAGCCCTGAGGGCAGAGAGCATGGAATATTCCGGGGGAGAAGGAGGCCTTTCTCTCGCTCTGCTGTCTTTAAAATTCCAATAAATGGGACCCTCTGCTCTCTCTGCTCCTCTTGTCACTCTTCTCAGTGCCACTTCTCCCAGGAGGCGAGGAGGGGCTCTGGGCCTCCCCAGGGTGATGAAGGGGCAGGACCAGGCCTCGATGGTGGGGTTAGCTTGCAGCAGAGTGAATGGCAGTAGCTAATCCTGCCCCATCCACGCTCCCGCCTTCCTTGCAATCTTCCCAGCCATGTCCTAAGGGAGGAGCCAGTGTTCCCAGGTGATGGACAGGACACTGAGGCTCCTGGAAGTTAAGTAGGGTGCCCGGGTGACATGATGGCAAGTGGCCCGGCTGTGTCTGCCACTCCCTCCTGGGACCTGCACTGCGTGAGGTGAGACCCTGACCATCTTGCCGAAGAGCAGTGCCCCTGCCAGGCTCCTCAGACTCCGTCTCTGCAGGGCCCCCAGGGAGCCCATCCTTCGGCACCAGACATGCTGCCCAGGCCTGGCTCCAACCAAGGCCTTCCCCAGCCCTCCGCCCTCCCCACGAGAAGCCTGCAGATGAGAGCTCCCGGCGGAGAGCTGGGCAAAGACTGAGGGCTCTGCAGTGGGGCTCTCCGCCTGCCTCCGGCACCTTCCGTTGGCCTCAACAGGTGCCCCCCTTCAGGGACCCTCAGCCCAGCGTGTTCTGATGTCCTCCCGTGGCTTTGCTGCCACAGCTCCGGAGCCCTCGCCCATCTACACCCTGGCCCTCGGGTGGCTGTCCATGTCCTCACCCTGGCTCCCCAAAGACAGGTCCCTCCACCGCCCCAGGCTCAGCTCTGTCTGAGGACCTCCTGTCGAGCCTTCCTGAGCTCCTAACCCATGGCACCCCCTCACTGCAGGCTTCTTCCGCAGGACCCTCTATCCGGCTTGGCCTGAGACCCTTCCTGGGGCTCTACCTTCTCCCTGGGAGTCCATCACCCCCTCCTTTAACCAGCACAGCACCCCAGCTCACGGAGCCAGCACCCCCCCCCAATGTCAGCAGGCACCTCAGCTGAGGCCTGCCCAAAACCAAGTCCATCCTCCCCCCGAACCTGCTGCTCCTGTGTTATCTCCCTCAACAGTACCACCCAGGCCACCACGGGCTGTTCTCTCCCCGTGTTTCTCCTGTCTCCCTGCCCGCTTCCCGGCCTCCCCAGGCCTGCCCGTCCGTGCTCCCCTGTCAGCTCCACTCCACCAACCTTCTCTCTGAAACACTGATCACACCACCTGCCTACTTCAGGCCCTGACGGTTGCCGGCGGGATGAAGTCCAGATTCCTCCCTGGAACACAGTCCTGCCATATGCCCTCGGGCTGTTCCAGCTGGCCTCGCGCTAGCCCCTTGCCCTCCACTCCCAGGCCTGACCTTGTACAGCCTGAGCCACAGGCAGGCCCCGCTTCCCTGGGCGGGGATGCGGACTGCCTTCCCAGCCACCTGGGCCCCCTTTTTTTGGGGGGTCCCTTCTTGGCATCCACCTGGCCCGTTACAGCGGCTGTCCAGCCACCCTTAGTCATTCTGGTTTGTTCACATGCTGCGCACTGACCAGCAGGCGACGCGGCCCCTCCCCCCACCTCTTCTGCGCTGCCTCCTGAACAGGAGCAGTTCCTCATCGAGGGGGCCCTGCCCGCCAGAGCTCTGAGCTCAGTGGTAGCTCAGACCCAGCAGGATTCCCCACCGAGGAGGGAACATGGAGCATTCACGTGGCTAAAGAGAGCAGCAGTCAAGGCAGAAGGAGCTCAGGCATGAGCGTCAGGTGAACTGTGCAAGGACAGTATTTTCTCAGGTTCAAGGAGGATACACTCTGGGCTAAGCTCACCCATGAGGGAGGCTCCTGGGGACAGTGAGGGCCTCGAGTTGTGGGGCAGGGGCGGGCAAGGAGCAGGAGGTCCATACCGCAGCAGGGAGACCAGCACGGGGGTAAGGGCGTAGACCTGTCCTGTCAGGGAAGGGGACTCTGGCAGGGCCACAGTTGGGTGTTTAGGCAGACGAGTCCAGCCACAGAATGACCAGGCCACGGTGAGCAGGTGCGAACAGGTGAAGAAAGCCAGGAGGAAGAAGCGCTGAGGATGCCAGAGAAGAGCTGGGAGCAGTGCTGGGGGGAGGGGCAGGGGCATTGGGAGGTAGTTTTTAGTGCCAAAAAGGGGTCAGGTTGGGTTCAGGGCAAAGCAGGCGGGTGTTTCTGTCAGTGGACTGTGACCTGCTGTGACCCACCCAGGGAGGGGAAAGGGGCAGCTCTGATACGACTGGGCGGGCCGGCAGGCAGGTGGGTGGGTGTGCAGAAGGCGCACGCTGATCCACGAAGGAATGGAACCAGAGCAATTGTGAGGTCAACCACATTGATTCTTCAGGTGGGGAAGGAAGCGGCCTCCCTCTGGGCACTGGCCTGGGCCTATCAGCAAGGCCCTGGTGTCACTAGCAGCCGCCCAGCACTCTCAGATACAGGCCTGGGTGTTCTCCGTTTAGATATAAACAACTTCATTCAAACCAGCATCAGACAGAGCCCCTCTGTGACCTGTCAAAGACAAGAACACCACTCCAGCCCCAGCCGGTGTGGCTCAGTGGATAGAGCGTCAGCCTGCGGACTGAAGGGTCCTGGGTTTGATTCTGGTCAAGAACACATACCTTGGTTGCAGGATCCTCCCCCGCCCCGGTCCTGGTTGGGGCTCATGCAGGAGGCAACCAATCGATGTGTTTCTCTCACATCGATGTTTCTGTCTTTCCCTCTCTCTCCCACTCTCCCTAAAAAACAGTGGAAAAATATCCTCGGGTGAAGATTTAAAAAAAAAAAAAAGAAGCAGCCCACTCCATAATCACATCTGGACACAGACAAAACACGAGCCCCGCCCAAGCCAGGAAGACGAGCGCGCCCTGCCCTACCTCCTCTGAGCGCCTCGGGCCTGTCTCCAGTCTGTCCTCCTCCCAGAGGCGTGTTGAGATACCCAGTCACCGAGTGGCTCCCCTTCCTGACAGCACCCAGTCCAGAGCAAAGCCCTGCTTCCTGAAGTCCTCCCAGGCGCCACTCCAGCCAAATCCTACTAAGGCCTTTCTAGCACCCCCTTCCTGCGGCTCCCTGAGGTTCCTTCCCCATCACCTCGGTCTTCTCTCTGAGTACAGCCTAGAGCAGTGATGGCGAACCCTTTGAGCTCGGCATGTCAGCATTTTGAAAAACCCTAACTTCACTCTGGTGCCGTGTCACATATAGAAATTTTTTGATATTTGCAACCATAGTAAAACAAAGACTTATATTTTTGATATTTATTTTATATATTTAAATGCCATTTAACAAAGAAAAATCAACCAAAAAAATGAGTTCACGTGTCACCTCTGACACGCGTGTCATAGGCTCGCCATCACTGGTCTAAACTATATGACATTAAACTGATGGAAGCTGTTAGCAGAGCCCAGCAAGGACCCACGATTCAGAGTCAGAATGATGGACTTGACAATAAGCTAAGTGAGTGGGAGACACTGCCATTCACAGGATGTTCAGTGGTGAAAGGAACAAGAAATCAAGCCCACAGCATCTACTAAATGCAAAAAGATTTACACATGCGCCTTTTAGATAGCAGGCACACGGAACTTCCAATGGCGTGAGGTTCTCAGCAATCTTCCAAATGTAAACAAAAAAAAATGTGTGTTAGCTTATGTTTTTTGTACAGGTCAGGCTCTTCAAACTATTTTTCAGAAAAACCAACCAAAAAAATGAGTTCGCATGTTACCTCTGACACGCATGTCATAGGTTCGCCATCACTGGCCTAGATCCAATGGGGAGGGGGTCAGAAAGACCCCCCTTGGGCAGGTGTGGAGAGAGAGGCTGCAGCAGAATGGGTGAGCTGGAGGCAGCCAAAGCAGGCCAGAGACGAGGCTGCCTGCAGCAAGCCCCATCCTTGACAGCTGGAAAAACATAGGAAAAACGGGCTGGTCGTGGGGACCTGGGGGAGAGCCCAGGAACTTGACATGACTGTGTCTCGGACCCCTCACCTGCAGGACGGCATTCATACTGTCTGCCTGGATGGGAGGTAGAAGGAGGTATGGACAGAGGGCTTCAGGTTAAAGGTCCCTGTCCTCCAGCAACTTTATGCCTTGAGAAGATGGCTTTGCAAAGAAGCTTGTTAACCCCACAAAGAACCCCAAGCCAAATGGGAGCAAAGGTCCCCAAAGGCCTCGCCAAGCCAGCTGAGTCTAATGGGCAAGTCTGAATGGGGACAAACTGTGCCAAAGCCAGTGACCCACAGCCAGAGGGTCAGCATAGCAAGTAGGAAAACACTGAAGGTTTGCTTTCAGCAAATTCACGGGGAGCACAGACCCCGGGTGGACACCAGGAGGCTCCTGTGACTCCTGCAGGTGAGACCTCCTGGCGGCCAGGAGCCAAGGGCCGTTCCAAAGCCACGCTGTCCCAGAGCTCAGACAGAAGAGCTGGACAGAGGACGAGGAAGCACGGCCCAGAAGCTCTCACTTCCCAGGCTCGCTCCTCCCAACACGTGACCCAAATGAACGCTGATAACCTTGCTCTCCAAACTTCTGCTATTCTATCCCAAACTCAACCCTGACATAACAACAACAACAAAAAAGGTAAGAAAGTTGCAATGAGAGGAAATAAGAGTAGAGAGAGCAGGTGAGCCTGGAGAAGGTAAGCACAAAGAAAGGCCGAGGGCTCCAGCGCAGATGCTGGGGGCCCTGGGGGTCTCTACTGAGCCCTGCAGGTCTACGGAGAGGCTGGAGGCAGAAGCAGGGTGACTGGTGACCCCGCAGCTCCAGCACCCACACCAGAAACCATGAGGCCGTCCTTGCTCTCGCTCATGCCCAAGACCAGCCCACAGGTACCCACTGAACTCCCACCACCTCTGCCCACGTCTCAGCCCCTGGGTCAGAGCTGCCCTCGCAGATTGCTCAGGTGACTGTGGTGGCTCCTTCCCCTTCAGCCCATTCCCTCAGCCCCTCCCTTAAGCCTTCCAAGGGCTTCCCAAGGCCCTTAGGATGAAGATCAACATCAGCCTTATCACCACCTGGGCCCTGTGTCCTTCCCCCTGTGCCCCATCCCCTCCTCTGCCCCTTTAGTTCCCTCAGTGAGGCCACTGCCCGACAGCCTCTGCATTCCCACACCAGAGGGCCCTCCGTGGCATCTCGCTCAGAACTTCCTCAGGGAAGGCTGCCCTGAGCTGGCCTGGCCGGGTCCGACCCGCCCACGAGGCCCGCTCCCAGCAAAACGAGCAGCATTCATCACCCTGGCCTTTTGGCATTTACAGGTGATTACTCAGTTCACAGCTGCTCCCGCTACACTACGGTCAGTAAGGCAGGGGCGGTGCCAGACTGTGACCAGCACTGAACCCCCGACTCCTAACCCAACGCCTGACACACAGTCAGTGCTCAATATTTATTTTTTTGGAGGAAAGAAGCGTGGTGCAAAGGGAAATAGAGAGGGTGTATCAGTCAGAGTTCTTATCTAGTCAAAGATTAGCTTGAAGGAATTGGCTCATACAAATTGCAAGGTTGGCAAGTTCGAAATCTGTAGAGCAAGCCAGCCGGCCGGAAACTCCGACGGGATTTGCAGGACGGTTGAGAAAGAATCCCTTCTTCCCTGAAACCCTCAGCGTGCTGCAGGTCAGGCCTGCGACTGGCTGGCTGAAGCCCACCCAGGTGAGAGTCGTCCTCTTTAAAGCCATGACCGTCGGTGTCAATCACATCTACAAAATTCCTCACACAGACACCTGGGCACCACGGCCCAGCCCAACTGACCCATAAAACGGAACCATCACAGCTGGTAAAGACCGCGTCAGCCCAGGGAGAGGCCAACAGGGGGCAAGACTACAGGGAGGAGAGGACTGAGGCTAAATGGGAAGCCGACCTCACCTGCTGGAGGGAAGCCCAGCAGAGATGTTCTACAGAGAGCGGAGGCCTTCTCCGCTGAAGGGAGCTAGGCACTGTTTCCCAGGGCCACAGTGATTCAGCCAGGATTATAGTCCAGGGTGTCGGAGGAGGGTGGGGGCAAGCCCCCCGCCCCCATTGTGAGGTCCAGGTAGAATGCTCAGCTCAGACGGACCCCAGTCCTGGCTGATCTCCAACCTCGTCCCCCCCCCCCCCCCCCCCCCCCCCGAACCAGCCTCCCACTAGGAGTGTGCCCTCTGGCTTAAACCTGCTGGACTTCACCATCCTCTTCTGTTGGAGAGCAGACGCCCGCAGAGCCCATGGAGATCCTGAAGACATGGCCCCGCCTGACTCCCAAGGTCAGGCCCACAGAGGTGTCTGTGTAGGTAGCACTTAAAAAATGAAGCGCAATCAGGACTCAGAGGTCCGACTTCTCGGAACCTGACGAGGAGTGCGGTCGGGTTCTTGAAGGACCACAGACAGGAAAATCCGAGGAGCCAGGGAGCGGAGGTGTGGGTGCAGAGAGGGCCCCGCGGGGCATTTGGAAGAGGGGAGCTCGAGTCACCAGAAACGGAAACTCCAAGTGATAGGGAGCCAGATGCCTGGACAAGGAAGCCCTGGGCTGGCAGTCAGAGACGGACTCTGAACACCGGGGTCAGGAGAAAGCATGGCCCCGTGTCCAGGTGTCCAGGTGTCCAGAGAATGTCCCCAGGTGAAGGCTGGCAGCTAACACCTGGGTGTGCCCGAGATCAGAAGGAAAGGCACCCTGGCCAGGAGGGAGGGTGATGAGTTTCCATTCAATAGAAATCCACTGGTTACCTACCTACACTGCACCAGGCCCTTTGCTGGATTCCGGGGAGTCCCACACCCCTGCCTTCAGCATCCAGAGAGTAAAACAGCCTTAACGAGCTAACCAGACAGAGCCAGGCAAGCGTTCCGACACGGAACACACCTGCGGAGGAATCGCTGCCTGGAGGCCAGTGATTAGCTTGCCACGGGTACCAGGAAGCTTCACAGAGAGGCCACCATGAGAGTGAAGTTGTCTGGACAGCCTCTGACCTCACAATACCCACTGGGCCAGCCTTGCAACTTGCAAACTCTGGCGCCCTCCTCCAGCCCGGGCAAGGCCCGGGGCCCTGGGCAGCCTCCAGGTGCAGTGCCCTCCGGTGGGCCGCGCCCTTCCCGCTGCCCTGGGGCATGTCTCTACTCACCAATTATGAGGGGCTTCGGCATCAGATTGAGAGGCTAGTGCGGGAAAATGAGGAACTGAAGAAGCTGGTGCGGCTCATTCGGGAGAATCACGAGCTTAAGTCGGCCATCAAGACGCAAGCAGGTGCCCTGGGCCTCAGCGGGTTCAGCAGCGGGCTTGGTGAGGCGTCAACTGGACCTTCTCAACGCCAGGGTAACTATCAGAGGCCTGAAGTCAAGGAGAGCAGGGAGGGAAGGGTGAGGCCGCACGAAAGAGGAGAGACGGTGCTGGGGTCTCGGGAGTCCCGGGGAGAAGGGCATAGATCTTAACACGCAGGTGATTACTCAGTGGCCCCGCCAGGTGAGGGGAGGGTGAGGACACAGGACCCTTAGACTCAAAAGGCAAAACGAGGCACCTGGTGGGAGGAGCCCCAGCCCACACGCCTGCCTCCCTCGAGCTGAACTTCCCAGCAGCTCCGTACACTACGGAGTTCCCAGCTCTGGAATCCAAATGTCATGTCACTCACTCTCAGCCTCCCATTCCTCTCCTCCATCCCTCCTCCTCGGCACCCCTGTCCCTCTCCCTCATTGCCCTCCCCTCAGAGATGGTCAGTAGGCGATGGACAACCCAAGTCCAGAAGCCAAGGACAGAAACTAGGACGGAAGCTGGAGGTTTGGGACTTAGTGCGCGACAGAACCCTGGGGCTGGAGATTTCCAGAGTCGGGTGAGACAGGAACGGGCAAAGAAGTTACAGGTGTTTTCAGGGGAGCAGTTGTAGTGATGATCCGTGGAGTTCAACCTGGAGCTTAGGGACCGAGCCGGGAGGGCACTCAGAGGCCAGGAGACCAAAGCGGCCGCAGCGCAAGCTGAATGTGGTGGCAGGAAGGAGGCAGGCGCCAGACGAATGGAAAACTGGCGGCAGAAAGTGGCTGGCGTTGAAGAGTCGGGAGAGAGGATTTCTGGGGGTGCAAGATCTCGGGGTGTGGCAACAGGAGTCAGTGGCTGTCAGGGTGTTGGTAATGGTTGTACAGGGCTAGGAGGTGATGAAATGCCGGCGGGCGGTTGTCACAGGCACACCCCTCCCCCTGCCTTACGTCCTTCTTGCCCTGCACTCTGCCCGCTCTGTTCACTCGGGTGTGACATCATCTCCTTTCCTGGGAGGACTCTGCTCTTCCCGCCTCTGCCCTGAAGCCTCCTCTACAGCCTCCTTGGCGGTGGGCCTGACACCGCTGTCTGTCGTAGAAAGGGCACCGGTGGCGTCCTAGGTGCCACATCCTCTGACCTCTGCACCCATTTGGGGCTGCAATGCTTCTCTTTCTGAGTTCCAAGAGCACCTGGAGCCCCCCTGGCTCAGTGTAACCACTGCTGCTTCCAGGCGGCTCCGGGCCCTCCACCCTCAGCCAGCCTGCCCTCTGCAGGCCTCCGCCCTCTGCCAGGAGTGGAGACCCCCAGAGGCTCTGGCAGGCCCAGTGAGTCCCTGGAACACAGCTCGCTCCAAACTCGACACATTTCTGGTTCAGACCTTGTCCTTCCCACCAGGATGCTAGAGCCCTCGCGTCTGCTCCTCCCCCCACTGTTCCAGCTCCAAGCCTTCTCTCCTTTGCTCTGGAAAAGCTACCACCGCTGGGTTCCCTGCCGTCCACCCGGGCTGTGGCACGGGACCCGCCTAACAGTCCCCGCTGACTGACCACACGCACACAGGCCCCTTTGTTTGAAAGGTTCGGCTGCCACTAACCGCACAGGGAGGTACAAGGCTGAAGAAATCTCATAGTTTAAAAAACTAGATTCTGGTTTCCCACCCCCAGGCTAACCAAGCAAGCCTTCTCCTCTTAGGTTTGATTCTTTTTCTTTTTTTAAAATATGGAACGCTTCACGAATTTGCGTGTCATCCTTGTGCAGGGGCCATGCTAATCTTCTCTGTCTCGTTCCAATTTTAGTATCTGTGCTGCCGAAGCGAGCACTTAGATTTGATTCTTAATAAAATCCGGGACCACTTCTGGTTTTCCAGCTCCTGAAGGGTCAAGCGTAGGGGGCCAGGAAAGGCTTTCCGAGGTGAGCCCAGTCAGCTAGTGGTGAAGGGGACGGGGGACGTTCCAGGAGGAGGAGGAGCAACTTGTGGAAGGTCTGGCCTTGGAGGTGCAGGAATGAGAAGTAGATCAGTGTGGTGAAAGCCCAGGCTGTGTGTGTGTGTGTGTGTGTGTGTTGTGTATTGAGTGTGTGGTCTGCGTGTGAGAGGGTGTGGGTGTGGGTATTGATTGGGGGGGAGGTAATGAGCATGTGTGATGTGAATCACCTGTTGTCTCAGTCATTAGCACATGTGTGCAAGCATGTGAATGTGGTGTGCAAGTGTGTGTGGTCCATGAATGTGCAGTGTATAGTGTGATGTGTATGTGTATTGTGTGGCATGTGTCTGCAGTGTGTGGGGCAGGTATGTGACTGGGTGTGTGGCACAGGTGTATATGAGAATGTGTGTGTGTGAGCGTGTGGTGTGTGCGCCTTGAGGGAGTTGGGAGTGTGGGAAAGTGTGTGTGCTGTGAGTACGTGAAAGTGTACTATGTGTGGTGTGTGTGACTGTTTTGAGTTGTGCGATAGTGTGTGAATGTGTGTTTTTTTGTGTGATATGTGTGAAGGTGTGTGCGCTAATGTGTGTGATGTGTGTATGTGTGTGTGTTGGGGCCAACAAGAGGTGAACAATGCAGGCAGAGAGGTCAGCGGGCATCAGTTGCCAAGGACTCGAGTGCCACGCTAAGGGGCTCGGACTTGTTCCTAAAGGCAACATGCCAACGCCGGTGATGTCTAAGGGAGAGTAGACATGTTTGTGCTTCAGAAAGAGCATCCCGGCTGCTGCGGGGAAATGGAGTCAAGGGAGACAAGAGTGAGGCAGGGAGAAGGGTTAGGCTGGGGCTGTGCAATCGTCCGGGTGAGAGAGGAGGGCGTGAACTAGCAGTGAAGAAAATCGATTCAAGTTATTTTGTAAGAAAACTAGCTGCTTGGATGTGAGGCATGGAAAAGAGGGAGTCCAGAATGTTCTGTGGCTCCGGCTGGGGCGGCTGAGTGGCCGATGGCGCCACTCCTGAGACTGCAGACCCCTCCATGCCCGTGCCCACGCCCGTGCCCATGCCCAGCCAACCCCACCCCAAGCCTAAGCCTAACCCTTGAGTTGCCTCCGAGGCTCTTTCTGGGCACTGCCTCGCCCTGTTTTCCTCGCGACTGGCCTTCCACAAGGGGTGAGGCTCTTACTCTCGATTTGCTCTAGGGAACTTGGCCCTCAATTCCTCTTTCTGGGCCCCCCCCTTCTCTGGCCCTGTCCTCTTGTGCACAGCTCTCCCTCCTACACCCTCCAGGCAGAGCTCTAGCCCACCCCCATTTAGGAGGAATGGGGGGGTGAGGAGTGCTGGTGGGTGCTCACAGCACATGTGCCAGCCCCCCCACCCCCAGCCCAGACGGGAAGAACAGGAGTGAGAGCTGGGAGGGGGGGCAGCTCTTCCCAAGCGACCACATTGTGGCACCGAACTCCAGGGACAAAATCCTCAACCAAACCCTGACCTTCCAGGTTGCTGCGAAGGTGAGTTGGTCGGGCAGGAAGCTAGGCCACCATGTACCACGTGGTTAGCTCCGTGGGTAACTGCGTTATGTAGACTGTAGTGTGCGCCCCGTCTGTGCTCCCACCGGGTGAGCCTGGGAGCAGGACCCGCGGTTTGGGGGGAAGAGGTCCGTGTGGGACACACCGACTTTCCGACATTCGCGGGACCCCATGGGGCGCGTGGGGACCTGAGCTCAGGGGAGAAGTCAGGGCCAGAGGGACTCGGGGAGACCCTCTGAGGACGAGCACAGTGAGGGCAGACGGAGGAGCCGGTCCGAGTCGGGGCAGACGGAGGAGCCGGTCCGAGTCGGGGCAGG